CCACCCTCACAGACTCTACCATACACCACCCTCACAGACTCTACCATACACCACCCTCACAGACTCTACCACACACCACCCTCACAGACTCTACCATACACCACCCTCACAGACTCTACCATACACCACCCTCACAGACTCTACCATACACCACCCTCACAGACTCTACCATACACCACCCTCACAGACTCTACCATACACCACCCTCACAGACTCTACCACACACCACCCTCACAGACTCTACCACACACCACCCTCACAGACTACCACACACCACCCTCACAGACTCTACCACACACCACCCTCACAGACTCTACCACACACCACCCTCACAGACTCTACCACACACCACCCTCACAGACTCTACCACACACCACCCTCACAGACTCTACCACACACCACCCTCACAGACTCTACCACACACCACCCTCACAGACTCTACCACACACCACCCTCACAGACTCTACCATACACCACCCTCACAGACTCTACCATACACCACCCTCACAGGCTCTACCACACACCACCCTCACAGACTCTACCACACACCACCCTCACAGGCTCTACCATACACCACCCTCACAGGCTCTACCATACACCACCCTCACAGGCTCTACCATACACCACCCTCACAGACTCTACCATACACCACCCTCACAGACTCTACCATAAACCACCCTCACAGACTCTACCATACACCACCCTCACAGACTCTACCATAAACCACCCTCACAGACTCTACCATACACCACCCTCACAGACTCTACCACACACCACCCTCACAGACTCTACCACACACCACCCTCACAGGCTCTACCACACACCACCCTCACAGGCTCTACCACACACCACCCTCACAGGCTCTACCACACACCACCCTCACAGGCTCTACCATACACCACCCTCACAGGCTCTACCATACACCACCCTCACAGGCTCTACCATACACCACCCTCACAGGCTCTACCATACACCACCCTCACAGACTCTACCATAAACCACCCTCACAGACTACCATACACCACCCTCACAGACTCAACCATAAACCACCCTCACAGACTCTACCAAACACCACCCTCACAGACTCTACCATACACCACCCTCACAGACTCTACCACACACCACCCTCACAGACTCTACTATGCACCACCCTCACAGACTCTACCATACACCACCCTCACAGACTCTACCATACACCACCCTCACAGACTCTACCATACACCACCCTCACAGACTCTACCATACACCACCCTCACAGACTCTACCATACACCACCCTCACAGACTCTACCACACACCACCCTCACAGACTCTACCATACACCACCCTCACAGACTCTACCATACACCACCCTCACAGACTCTACCATACACCACCCTCACAGACTCTACCATACACCACCCTCACAGACTCTACCATACACCACCCTCACAGACTCTACCATACACCACCCTCACAGACTCTACCATACACCACCCTCACAGACTCTACCACACACCACCCTCACAGACTCTACCACACACCACCCTCACAGGCTCTACCATACACCACCCTCACAGGCTCTACCATACACCACCCTCACAGGCTCTACCATACACCACCCTCACAGACTCTACCATACACCACCCTCACAGACTCTACCATAAACCACCCTCACAGACTCTACCATACACCACCCTCACAGACTCTACCATAAACCACCCTCACAGACTCTACCATACACCACCCTCACAGACTCTACCACACACCACCCTCACAGACTCTACCACACACCACCCTCACAGACTCTACCATACACCACCCTCACAGACTCTACCATACACCACCCTCACAGACTCTACCATACACCACCCTCACAGACTCTACCATACACCACCCTCACAGACTCTACCACACACCACCCTCACAGACTCTACCACACACCACCCTCACAGACTCTACCACACACCACCCTCACAGACTCTACCATACACCACCCTCACAGACTCTACCATACACCACCCTCACAGACTCTACCATACACCACCCTCACAGACTCTACCACACACCACCCTCACAGACTCTACCACACACCACCCTCACAGACTCTACCATACACCACCCTCACAGACTCTACCATACACCACCCTCACAGACTCTACCACACACCACCCTCACAGACTCTACCACACACCACCCTCACAGACTCTACCACACACCACCCTCACAGACTCTACCACACACCACCCTCACAGACTCTACCACACACCACCCTCACAGACTCTACCACACACCACCCTCACAGACTCTACCACACACCACCCTCACAGACTCTACCACACACCACCCTCACAGGCTCTACCACACACCACCCTCAGAGGCTCTACCACACACCACCCTCACAGACTCTACCACACACCACCCTCACAGGCTCTACCACACACCACCCTCACAGGCTCTACCACACACCACCCTCACAGACTCTACCACACACCACCCTCACAGGCTCTACCACACACCACCCTCAGAGGCTCTACCACACACCACCCTCACAGACTCTACCACACACCACCCTCACAGGCTCTACCACACACCACCCTCACAGACTCTACCACACACCACCCTCACAGACTCTACCACACACCACCCTCACAGACTCTACCACACACCACCCTCACAGACTCTACCACACACCACCCTCACAGACTCTACCACACACCACCCTCACAGACTCTACCACACACCACCCTCACAGACTCTACCACACACCACCCTCACAGACTCTACCACACACCACCCTCACAGGCTCTACCACACACCACCCTCAGAGGCTCTACCACACACCACCCTCACAGACTCTACCACACACCACCCTCACAGGCTCTACCACACACCACCCTCACAGGCTCTACCACACACCACCCTCACAGGCTCTACCACACACCACCCTCACAGGCTCTACCATACACCACCCTCACAGGCTCTACCATACACCACCCTCACATACTCTACCATAAACCACCCTCACAGACTCTACCATACACCACCCTTACAGACTCTACCATAAACCACCCTCACAGACTCTACCAAACACCACCCTCACAGACTCTACCATACACCACCCTCACAGACTCTACCACACACCACCCTCACAGACTCTACCATACACCACCCTCACAGACTCTACCATAAACCACCCTCACAGACTCTACCATACACCACCCTCACAGACTCTACCATACACCACCCTCACAGACTCTACCACACACCACACTCACAGACTCTACCACACACCACCCTCACAGACTACCACACACCACCCTCACAGACTCTACCACACACCACCCTTACAGACTCTACCACACACCACCCTCACAGACTCTACCACACACCACCCTCACAGACTCTACCACACACCACCCATACAGACTCTACCACACACCACCCTCACAGACTCTACCACACCCCACCCTCACAGACTCTACCACACACCACCCTCACAGACTCTACCACACACCACCCTCACAGACTCTACCACACACCAATCTCACAGACTCTACCACACACCACCATCACAGACTCTACCACACACCACCCTCACAGACTCTACCATAAACCACCCTCACAGACTCTACCACACTCCACTCTCACAGACTCTACCACACACCACCCTCACAGACTCTACCACACACCACCCTCACAGACTCTACCACACACCACCCTCACAGACTCTACCATACACCACCCTCACAGACTCTACCATACACCACCCTCACAGACTCTACCATACACCACCCTCACAGACTCTACCATACACCACCCTCACAGACTCTACCACACACCACCCTCACAGACTCTACCATACACCACCCTCACAGACTCTACCATACACCACCCTCACAGACTCTACCATACACCACCCTCACAGACTCTACCATACACTACCCTCACAGACTCTACCATACACCACCCTCACAGACTCTACCATACACCACCCTCACAGACTCTACCATACACCACCCTCACAGACTCTAACACACACCACCCTCACAGACTCTACCATACACCACCCTCACAGACTCTACCATACACCACCCTCACAGACTCTACCACACACCACCCTCACAGACTCTACCACACACCACCCTCACAGACTCTACCACACACCACCCTCACAGACTCTACCACACACCACCCTCACAGACTCTACCACACACCACCCTCACAGACTCTACCACACACCACTCTCACAGACTCTACCACACACCACCCTCATAGACTCTACCACACACCACCCTCACAGACTGCAGTAAGAAAAATTATGTCCACCTTTTTTTTATCACCAAGGATTTTGTTTTTAACTGTGAGCTTTCTGTAATTCCAAAATATTTGTTGTTAACCTGCTCATTGTTGTTGCCGCCTTATATTTCCAGATATTATTTTTCTTGGTCTTAAAACAATATGGTATTGACTGAGAATCCCAAAAATATGAAGTGGAAAACTGTCCATTTCACTTCCCGTTGCCCCCACCTCTTTAGGTCTAATTCATATGGACACATGCTACATAATCCACCAAAACAGCTCTACAAACTAAATATGGCATAGAAAAAAAAATTTTTTTTGCTCGACTATGTATAAATAAATATGACAATGCTGGGAACAAATATTTTGAATATAAAATGTTGGAAAGTTTGACACTGAAAACTCTGGGTTAAAATGACACAGCCTGACACTGAAAACTCTGGGTTAAAATGACACCGTCTGATACTGAAAAGTTTGGGGTTGAAAAAAGCAGTTTGACACTAAAAACTCTTGAGTATAATGACACAGTCTGATAATGAAAGTTCATGGGTACAATGACACAGTGTGAAATATAAACTCTGTGGTACAATGATAAGGTCTGACACAACAATCTGAGGGTACAATGACAAGGTCTGACACTGAAAACTCTGGCATATGACAGTCTGACACTAAAAACTGTGAAGGTACAATGACACCGTCTGATACTGGATACATATCTACCTGTCTCCTGTTGCCGTGGTGAGAAAAAATAGGCAGTATCTAAGCCAGTAATATCTCCAGTCTCTGGTGCTACATGTCTCTGTTGTTGTTTCTTGTTGGCTCTACAACTAGGTTTCATTAGTTTTCCTATTTTGGATTCTGCAAAAACATGCATTTCAAAATGACAAACAGAATGCTTATTATTTGGTAGTCCTAACTCATTTACCCCTTGGGCTGGATCTTCTGATTTGCTTCTGATTTGCTTAGGACAGTTTTGATGTCCTCATGATATAGCAAACAGAAAAAGACAATAACGAAATGACACAGGAAATCTGACACTGCTCATATCGAGCAGCAACAAACAGAGATGGGCATTCCATTATGGCATGGCTTTCAAACACTGTACACCCTGAAGAGAAATATCAATCATTGGTCTAGGAAGTTTGTATTTTTCACCTTGTGAGTGTCAGATGGCACAACTTACACAGACATATATGTGGTTCATCTTGCATCTCCTGCACTTGAAATTTCACATGGTTCCAACTGGAACTGCACCTGAAACTACAGTAAATGGCAGTCCCTGTAGAAGCAGTTTGGAAGGCCATAATGCCTTCAGTTCTAATATACTGTTACACTACACACACATGTAGAGTAGGATAGTAACATGTTTTCACATTCCTGGAAGTGGAAGGGGGGAGGGGGGGGAATATAGAATGAGTTTACTGAACAGAATCTATACTCTTGATAGAAGATGATGGGATAAATATTTCGTTCAAATTTTTTTAAATCTTTACGAATTAAAAAAGAAATTAATTACCCCAAGATAATAGATAGACAAATTTTTTTTTTTGGAAGGGGGGGGGGGGGGGGGTGGGACTGGGGGTCACACATTTTCTCAAACTTGTGTTATATTGTGATATATGTACATGAATCCTCAAGGCCTACAAGGTGACCTCCCAGAAAAATTTAACTTCATCAAGATCCAGTTTCTGCCTCCCAACACCACTCTTTTACTCCAGCCCATGGACCAGCAAGTTATTTCTAACTTTAAGAAGCTCTAAACTAAAGCACTCTTCGAGCACTGTTTTCAGGTGACTGAAGGAACCAACCTCACTCTCAGAGAGTTTTGGAGAAATCACTTCCACATCGTTGCCTGCCTCAAGATGATCGACAAGGCGGGGGAAGGGGTTACCAATAGAACCCTAACGTCCTCTTGGAAGAAGCTTTGGCCGGGGAGCATTGTCGAATGTGACTTTGAGGGGTTCGAGACAGTAACTGTGGAACCTGTAGTCAACGAGATTGTGTCTTTGGTTACTATCATGGGATTGGAGGTGGATAACTGTGATATCGAAGAGCTTGTGGAAGATCACAGCCAAGAGCTGACAACCGAAGAGCTTATAAAATTGCATTGTGTTTCACAGCAAGAAGTTTTGGAGGAAAATTTGTCAGAGGAGGAGGAGGAGGTACAAGAAAAGCAACAATTTTCTGGCGAATTAAATAAATGCTGAAAGCATGGGAAACTGTTGCATCTAACATTGAGAAGCATCACCCTAATAAGAAAGTAGCTATGCGCGCTGCAAATTTATTTAATGATGATGCTGTGTCGCATTTTCGCCAAATTTTGAAGCGTCTGCAAAAAAAATGTCCCTGGACATCTTTCTATTAAAAAAATAATTAGCTGTTTATCATAATTCTCCCCCCCCCCCCTCCCCCCCCCCCCACCCCCCCTCCCCGCAAATCAATTTTGCATTCCAGGTGGGTTCATTCTATCTTTGAAGAAAAGATGAAGATAATTCATTCTCCTTAACAATATGTATATATTTTTTTTTTAAATAAACGATATACATAGCATTTTGTGAGTATTTGTTTCGACATGAAACATATTATCGTATTTTACATTAATATTTATGAGAAAAATTGTTTTGCATAACGAGTTTTTGCTTAAGAAGTATGATTCTGGAACAAATTCTGCTCATGAAGCGAGGTTCCACCGTAAGCTCTTGAGGTTCATTGCTACAGATATCATCCGCTTCCTTTCATTTCGCTTTTCAGTTAGTGACACCAAATGTTTGGAGGTCTGTCTGGACATTATCTCTCCATTGTCTTCTTGGTCTGCCTCGTGGTGTATGACCATTCAGCTTCCTTGTGTTTAGTTTTTCCCTCTCTGTCATCTGACATTCTCTCAATATTTAATATCTAAAAAGACAAAAATTCTGAACATCCTGATTATAAACCAGAAGGGACAAACAGGATATCTCTGAATAAATTACTACCTACTTTTTTTATCTGACAAAATGTATAATTGTACCTCTTTCTATCACAAACAATGAATGTTTGTCTTATTTCTACGTGAGACAGTTGTGACTTGTAGTCTTGTTCTAGTCTAGATGAGTAGAAGAAATGTAGAGCACCTACAGATACAAGACAAAATGTATAATTGTACCTCTTTCTATCACAAACAATGAATGTTTGTCTTATTTCTACGTGAGACAGTTGTGACTTGTAGTCTTGTTCTAGTCTAGATGAGTAGAAGAAATGTAGAGCACCTACAGATACAAGACAAAATGTATAATTGTACCTCTTTCTATCACAAACAATGAATTTTGTCTTATTTCTACGTGAGACAGTTGTGACTTGTAGTCTTGTTCTAGTCTAGATGAGTAGAAGAAATGTAGAGCACCTACAGATACAAGACAAAATGTATAATTGTACCTCTTTCTATCACAAACAATGAATGTTTGTCTTATTTCTACGTGAGACAGTTGTGACTTGTAGTCTTGTTCTAGTCTAGATGAGTAGAAGAAATGTAGAGCACCTACAGATACAAGACAAAATGAATGATCAATAATTCACAACAGATTGGTCTCAGTGTTTAGAAAATGTGATGTACTTACCTCTACAGTCTCCATTTAGGTGGTCACTTTCACCAGCCACTGAAGTAAATGGCTTCTTGTCTTCCTTATTGGTAAACATAAAAGAAAAATCACCAAGTGTGCTGGTGAAAAAAAATGTCTTTCTGTTGGGATAATTACTTTCCCTTCTTTGTCGATCTTGATAGTTTTGAGAGAAAGTCTGTGACCATGAAGGGCTACTAGAATGTTTTGTTTTCTCTGGAGATGGTGCTGAAGCAGTGCTTTGCTTGGCTGTTCTCATATTGCTATGCTTGTTTGGTTGTGTTGTTTCTGCTGCTGCTTTATTTAAATCTCTGCCATGCATTTCTCGTCTATCTGGGCTAGAAAGAAATCCATATGATGCAGCAATTTCTTGAAATGTCTCTTTTGCTCGAATATCTTTGTTTTTATCTGGATGCCATTTCTTGGCTAAAGTCCTATATGCTTTCTTAATTTCATTCTCACTGGCCCCAACATTGATCCCAAGGCGAGCAAAATGATTAATTTCAAGTGCCATATCGAAGCTTTGAAATTTCTGATCCAGCAGGGGTTTGAGGCAATCTATGTCCAGCAGGGGTTTGAGGCAATCTATGTCCAGCAGGGGTTTGAGGCAATCTATGTCAAGCAGGGGTTTGAGGCAATCTATGTCCAGCAGGGGTTTGAGGCAATCTATGTCCAGCAGGGGTTTGAGGCAATCTGTGTCCAGCAGGGGTTTGAAGCAATCTATGTCCAGCAGGGGTTTTAGGCAATATATGTCCAGCAGGGGTTTGAGGCAATATATGTCCAGCAGGGGTTTGAGGCAATCTATGTCCAGCAGGGGTTTGAGGCAATGTATGTCCAGCAGGGGTTTGAGGCAATATATGTCCAGCAGGGGTTTGAGGCAATCTATGTCCAGCAGGGGTTTGAGGCAATCTATGTCCAGCAGGGGTTTGAGGCAATCTATGTCCAGCAGGGGTTTGAAGCAATCTATGTCCAGCAGGGGTTTGAGGCAATATATGCCCAGCAGGGGTTTGAGGCAATCTATGTCCAGCAGGGGTTTGAAGCAATCTATGTCCAGCAGGGGTTTGAAGCAATGTGTGTCCAGCAGGGGTTTGAAGCAATCTATGTCCAATAGGGGTTTGAAGCAATCTATGTCCAGCTGGGGTTTGATGCAATCTATGTCCAGCAGGGGTTTGAGGCAATCTATGTCCAGCAGGGGTTTGACGCAATCTATGTCCAGCAGGGGTTTGAGGCAATCTATGTTCAGCAGGGGTTTGAGGCAATCTATGTCCAATATGGGTTTTAAACAATCTATGTCCAGCAGGGGTTTGAGGCAATCTATGTCCAGCAGGGGTTTGAGGCAATCTATGTCCAGCAGGGGTTTGAGGCAATCTATGTCCAGCAGGGGTTTGAAGCAATGTATGTCCAGCAGGGGTTTGAGGCAATCTATGTCCAGCAGGGGTTTGAGGCAATCTATGTCCAGCAGGGGTTTGAGGCAATATATGTCCAACAGGGGTTTGAGGCAATCTATGTCCAGCAGGGGTTTAAGGCAATCTATGTCCAATAGGGGTTTGAAACAATCTATGTCCAGCTGGGGTTTGAGGCAATCTATGTCCAGCAGGGGTTTGAGGTAATCTATGTCCAGCAGGGGTTTGAAGCAATGTGTGTCCAGCAGGGGTTTGAAGCAATCTATGTCCAGCAGGGGTTTGAGGCAATTTATGTAATATTCCTGAAGACATGAACAAATTATTTGGATAACTGGTCATAGAAATGCCACAATCAAGTTATTACATAGTTGAAATATTTCTGTTCATGTTAAAATATTTCTTAACAAAGTTATTAACTACAGATGCCTCAAGCAATACATGAGTCTATAGTTGGGCATTATTAGTGTTGATATTTCAGTTTAGAGTATATAAAGGATTCTGAAAAATTGGTAGCTCAGATGCAAAATGAAAAAGATCAGTTAGCAAACACAAGTAAAAGTGAAAGAAAAGCAAACTGAGTCAAAGATGGAACTAGCAATAAAACATTTTTTTTTTAAACAGAGAAAATGAAAGAAGAAGAAAATGGGTACAATATGTACACTAGTGTTGTTAACAGTGTTTGCAAGAAATATGACATTAAGTCATGGATTATTATTATTTATTACAAATGAAAGTCCAGTCTGTACCTCATAAAGATTATGCACCAATTTCCCAGCAACATTTGGCTTTTGAACCTTTGACAGTTTTGGAATGTACCAGAACATTTGAGATTAAATTCTGACTATATCAAAGACATGCCTGTGTGTCACCGGGACCCTCACGGAACGCAAAGAATAGTGACACTGCACCCTACCAGGCATGTCGTAAGAGGCGACTAAGGGTAGGGTTGGGCTTGAGGTTGGCTGCTTCATCCTGTAAAAACAATAGCCACAAAAACCAACCAACCATGGATAAGTCAAAAAGAGAAGCAAGTAAACCCAGCCAACCAAGATGAGGGGAGGCTCTTCAATTAGAAGAAGTATGACATGGTGTGGAGAAAGCCGTAAGGAGTCTGGACCGTTGACGTACCTCCTCTCAGCTAGGAAAACCTCTGGAATGTTAGAACTCTCTATGATATAGGGAGAACAATGGAAGTAGCAAAGGAAATGAAACATTATAGAATTAGTATTTTAGGGTTATGTGAAACTAGATGGACTGGGGCAGGGAAAAGTATTTTAAATTCAAGAGAAACTATTTTGTTCTCAGGACACACAGAGGAAAATTCACTCCCAGAGAAGGAGTGGCCCTGATGCTATCAAAAGAAACAGTCAGGGCACTAATAGAATGGGAAGCTATGAGTCCCAGAATAATAAAAGCATCATTTAGAACAGCGAAACACCGGGAAGGCTAACCAGGTCAAAAAATGCAAGCAGAAGTCGGATGTGTTGGCCGAAAGGTGCAAATATTGCAGCCATGCTGTAAACGGACACAACACAATTACATCTTTGGATGAACGCAGAAGAAGAAGAAGAAGAAGACTGAAACAGAAGGTGAACATGTCAGTAATACAGTTTTACGCACCAACAAATGATAAAGATGTATCTGTTAAGGAAGAATTGTACAAGCAGCTTCAAAATATTATAAACAATGAATGAAAGGGCAATTTAAACATTTCGATGGGTGACCTGAATGCTAAGAATCTTAGTAAGATAGGAACAACTGACATGTTACTGAGGCCCTGTTAGGGTATATTGTCGGCCTCGATAATTTCGGACCGTTATTCGGAAGATGGCCCTTTGCAGAACGTCGCTCTCATAACTGTCTGCCTGAAAGAATCTCTGGTCTCTCACTTAGCTCTCCCGCCTCATCAACTTTCATACTCAAGGAGTCACTTATATCATGTGCCCATCTTCGTGTCGGTCGGCTCCTGTCCCTCCTTCCTGGTACCATGCCTTCTGCTATATTTTGTTCTAATCCGTCGTGGCCCCTTGATATGATCAAAATAAATTAAATAAAAATGAAGCAGAAATATTTTATTTATTAAATAAAATATTTTGGCTGCCAGTATTTCAACTATTTCACCTGCTTCATTTACATTTTACACTAATGTCGAAAATGTAATTAAAATACCTAGTATATTGATACTATTATATCAAATGGACGTGGGTGTCGACTGTTGGGGTTTGAAGAACAATTCTGCCCACAAAGGTACACTAATTTCCTGTTGGATCCGTTCAGCTAGTCTCCTCTAGCTATAGAAAATGTCCACTCACTGGTGGAGAGAGGCTATTTTGTTTCCATTAGTTACGGCGCCATGTTTCTAATCACTATCGGTGCGGAAACGTATTGCTCCACTACTTCTGATACTTTCAAAAACAACTGAGTAAATTATAAAGTGGGACAGACAGTAAAAAGTAAAGATCCATTTTCACGCCCTTAGGCGCATCGGGCATATGGGAAGAGCACTCATATTTTTACAGACCAATCGGCACTAGGTGGGTAATGTGGTCAGCATTACGCCGGCCGTCTTTGATTCCTCAGGACAGCCATCCTGGTACCCATTTTAGGCTGGGTCGACTTGCGACGCCCCATACCATGATGAAAAGTCACGCAGCCAGCTGTAGGTTTCGATCGCGATACGTTGAGTTACGAGTCAGACTCGCAACGCCTAAGCCACGGACGCCGCTGGGATAGACAGAACTACAACAATTATATTTCTTAAAGCATCCATCTTTCCAATTGTAACATACGCATATGAGACTTGGACACGTAAACAAGCCGAACAGCGCATAAATGTCTTTGAATACAAATATTATACATCGGTTGTAAGAATATCATGGGTAAAGAAAAGAACAAATTCATACATACTTCAAGAACTGAGTTTTGAAGAAGCTTGGCTATTAAAGACGATTAAAAACAGAAAAGTGAAATATTTTGGTCACTCGAAACGTCACGAAAGTTTGGAGAGAACAAAAATGGAGGGGTATATGCCTTGGAAGAGAAAGGCCAAAGGGAAGACGAGTGCGGGATGTGGCGGATGATCTCCGGATGGGTGTATCGGACGCGGAACATCCTGCTTGTGAACGAGAAATTTTCCATAGGGTCGTTATGGGAAGCAAGGTGCGTTAAGAAGGACTTGCTACTGACTGACTGACTGACTCCTGATATTCCCTGCCGCAGGTAATCGGCGTTGGTAATCAGGATTTTCTACAACAGTGTTTCCCAACGTGAGCGCTACCGCTAGGAGCTCTGGGATGCTTCACGGGGCGGCAGATTTGATTTGATTTAATTTGATCCAGAACTGACATCACAGCACTCGGGGCATTCCCATAAGCGCTCCGTCCCCATCTTCAACAGCCAGCCAAGAGTTCCGATACTAATGGTGTCTGTAGCTTTCTGATTAAACGTCCGTCTTGCCTTTCCTCTGAGGCTTGAGCTTCTGCCAGAACCTCTCGTCACCCCCCAACTGCATCAATCTCTGGTAATCTGGTAATCTGGTAATCCTAGTTTCAGCATCATAGCAAACGGGTCACCCCATTGTTGCTCCGCTCCTGTGCCAACGAAAAACACTCGTAGCTCACAGTGTCACACCATGCACTCAACTCAGAAGCTGGGTGACGAAACTATATCCTTCCAGTCTACAAAAGGAGCAAAAATGCAACGGCCACCATCAATCTCACTAGACTGTGGTGATCCATCTGCGGGGGCGGCAGTAGCTCAGGGAAAGCTGTGATGAACTGAATCAAAATAAGAGTGGTTTTGACAGAGATACCATTTTGATTAATTGTTCATACCGTTCTGATACCTTTCTAAGTGTAGTGAAACTTCTTCTTAAAGTCCCTGCCATGTGGCGTTGGTAGTCATGTCTGTCCACAACCTTCTGTCTCGTGTACTTTCAATCAACTCTGACACAAAAGATCTTCCATAGTCCCTGCCATGTGGCGTTTATAGTCATGTCTATCAAAAAGCTTCTGTCTCGTGTACTTTCAGTCAACTCTGACACAAATGGTCTTCCTCTGCCTTTCTTTTCCTCCAACTTTCCTACAGTTACGATGTACTCCAGTTTTCTCCT